TTGAGAGGGACAGTTAAATAGAACCCCTTTTCTATTATATATGTACAGCTGGTATTTATTTCTAGAATATTCTCCTTCTTCTATAAATTCCTTGTATTGATGTAAATTCATATATTGAAAATCTCTAGAAATATACTCTGCCTTCTGTCACTTATTAACTTTCTCGCACGTGAATGGACGTCCAACTCCTGGTCCTATAAATACACAAGTACACAACCTGCAACTAATATCCACGACCTACCCCAACTTCCTCACTGTTCCAATGAATCAATTTGCAAAAAGGCATTTGAGANCGTGAATGGACGTCCTACTCCTGGTCCTATAAATACACAAGTACACAACCTGCAACTAATATCCACGACCTACCCCAACTTACTCACTGTTCCAATGAGGCAATTTGCAAAAAGGCATTTGAGAGATCCATAACGTGATAAGAACAAGACAAAAGCAGAGAGCAAACGAATCTGTTCATGTTGTGTGCATAATCTTTAAAGTGAATCCGGCTTACGTTCGCCCACAAGATTTTCTTCCCTTTCCCATAACCACAATCCTTTATCCTCCGCCTATGTGCGCATATCCCTTCCCTTCATCCTTCATCCTTCATCTTTCTCTTCTGTCTCTATACATTTACATACCAACACATAATAAGAAAATAGCATGGCTACCAGGTTTCTTTTAGCGTTTGCAATCTGTCGATTAATCGTGACAGTTGGATTAACCTTGGATCCGACGGAGCTTCTACTCCTTGAAGTCGAGGGTGTTCTGAGCTTAGAGCCAGCCGACCTAGGGGCGGCTTCACGGGACTTCGGTGGCATGCAAAACGCCGAGCCATTAGCTGTTCTGCATCCGGGTTCGGCTGTTGACGTTGCCCGCCTAGTAAAAGCAGCTTATGAATCCGGTCAGGGATTCACTGTCTCGGCTAGGGGACACGGGCATTCTATTAAAGGGCAGGCCATGACCACAAACGGGGTTGTGGTTCAAATGAGTGGCTCCAGCAAGGTGGCTCCGCCGAGAATTTCTGAGAAATTCATGTACGTGGATGTGTGGGGTGGAGAGTTATGGATAAATGTATTGAGTTCCACCTTAAAGTATGGACTTGCACCAAAATCTTGGACAGATTACTTGTACCTTTCCGTGGGTGGTACCCTCTCCAATGCAGGAATTAGTGGCCAAGCATTCAATCATGGCCCTCAAATCAGCAACATATACGAGCTCGACGTTGTTACAGGTTCTTTCATTAATTNNNNGTTGTTACAGGTTCTTTCATTAATTTTTATTCTCTTAATTTACATGAACGTTCTTGGAAATCTTACATACCTTGTTTGGTTGATTGTAAACTACACAAATTTATAGTATTAAAAAACAAAAAGAAATTGAAATCTTGATTTAACACGGGATATCACATTCACAAACCCCAATCTTCTATCTACTCGCAGAAGATCTCGAATCTTTTATTTTGCTCTGCATGTGTTTCAAAGTAGTATATTTTCGTTCTTAAAGTCGGAGCCTATGTACTCAAGTCACTTTTTTATGCACATATTTTAAGAGAATTATAAGTACTGCTCATTTATCCACAATTCATTTTTATTTATTTACAATTTATAACGTTTATAAACATTTTCCAAATATGCTTTTGAAAAAAAAAAAAGGGTTTTTGGAATAGCTTTTGGTTCCTTTACGAAGGCCCCAAAAATGAGATTGTCGAAAAGTTGTAGCATGGTCTTTAATTCTGTCTTTTCATCTTTTTCAAAAGCTTTTCGTTGTCTCCTATAATGTTTGGTTGGCAGTTCCAATTAGGGTTAAAAGGTAGGGAATTGTCTAATAGAGTTCTATTCAATTCAATTGAGTGAATTAAACTTAATCGTAAAAATTTAATACACAGATCGTTTAGAGCATGTTTGTCTACCATTATTGGTGGAGAAATGGAGTAAGGAATA